CAGCCACCCTCCTCTCGTGACCAGCACAACTACATCTGAAAATGGGCGTCTTTAGCTTGTCTGCCAGACAGGTTATTTTTCGACGTGCAAGGTCTGTGACATCCATTGCCCTCACTCTGGTTCATCTTTGTTAACTTGGCACAATTAGTCTGTCTCTCCCTTCCCCCCCCATCTTCTAGAGTTATTGAGACTGCACTTCCCTTTTCCCATGGGGCCAAGCACCGCTTCTGCTCTGTCTCCTTTCCCAAAGGCCCCTCCTCGACTGGATGCCGATCCTTTCTCGTCCCTCCCCTGCAAAGGTGAGGCTGTCTGCCATCAGCGACAGTGGTGTGAGAAATGGGTCTCCCCACACAGTGACCGGTGACCTTGGCCTGGCTGCTCACAGGCCCTGGTCTCCCCCCTGCAGTGACCAGTGATCTCACTGACCCTAGTTCCTGCCTGTAAAATGAGAGGCCTCTCAGGTCCCTTGCAGCTCTAAATCTATGTCATAACTAACATTTATTAAGCACCTACTGTATGCCAGACTCTATGCTAAATGCTGGAGATACAAAAGACAGAAGAGAGTCCCTACCTTCAAGGACCTTGCAGTCTAATGGTGTGTGCAGACTTTCCAAGGCATTCTGGGGCTTACCAAGCTTCTGTGTATAGGCACACACGGGCAGATCACTACCTCTTTTCAAAGCCTGTGTTATTCTCTAAAATGGGGCTCATAGCACGTAGATCTGGAAGGAGCTTATGGGATCCTCATTCTAGTTGAATCAACTGAGGCCAAAGGTGAAGCAGCCTAGGGGCAGCTGGGTGGCACAGTGGATAGAGCACTGGCCCTGAAGTCAGGAAGACCTGAGTTCAAATCCAGCCTCAGACCAAACACTTGACACTTATTAGCTGTGTGACCCTGGACAAGTCACTTAACCCCAGTTGCCTAAAAAAGAATAAACAAATAAAAAAGGTGAAGCAGCCTGCCCACAGGTCAGTCCCACAAGCTCTGAGCAGCAGGCTCTCCGCGACCTGTCATAGCACCTCCACCATGATGCCTGTTACTAATTTCCAGAATGGTGCCAAGGGAAACCCTTCTCCAGAAGGTCATTAATGGCACCCTGTGCCTCCCTCAGACAGATGGTGGGGGAACAGCAGAAGGTGTCCAAAGGCCACCTCCCTTGGCTGGCTGCCATGGTGCCATCAGAGCCATCCTTTGGGTGAAGGCCTTGGGTATGAAGGTGGAAGCACTATTGCCTCCTGGTGCCAGAGGGGCCAGGTGGTGTTTTTTTGTGCTCTCCCAGCCTGGAAAATCTTTAAATATGGGCCTGGGGATTGACGGTTACCAGAGGACAAGGCAGGGTGGGCTTGGGGCGGTCCATCACCCAAAGCCTGTCCACCAGTAACAAATACTCAGCCACAGCAGCTCATGAAGACAGGGAGGGCTTACTCTCTGGGTCAGCACAGGTATCTCCACACTCGTGAAGCCATAGGTTCACGAATTATCATTATAGTAGCCCTCAGAGAGTAAGGCTAAGGTTCCTTCGAGTGCTTAACTATGAAATAATGAAATAGAAGGATTTTTAATTTGGTAAAGAGTGTAGGAATAGTCTGGAGCAAAACGCAGTGCGTGTGTGTGCGTGTGTGTGTGTCGGTGGCAGGGGAGGGAGGGGCAGACCAAGATGGGACCCTCACAGGGAAGGGAAGGGGCCCCAAAGGCGTATTCCACTCCCCATTCCGGGTTCCAGTTGTTTGTAAAAAAGAGAAAATTAGGCTCCCTGGGCTCTGAGATCCATTCTAGCTGTGGAATGCTTTGATGCCCTTTTCAAAGCCTTTCCCTGCTCACACCCAACAGCGTCTTTGGCACGAGCCGGGCGGGGCGGGGGGAACACTTGCGCAAAACAAGAGCTGCTTGGATGATCTTGTAGGTTAGAAAGAAGGAAGAAGGCACAGAAACCAAATAGAGGAAACTCCTGGGGCCCCTAAGTTCTGTTTTCATGTGAAGGAAAGTCCCAGCTGTGAGCAGGTAAGAGGAGCCAGGAATCCTGGGCTCTGACCTTCCCCGAACCACTGACCTGCGGCATGGCCATGGGATTCCCTCCGCCTGTCAGTGCCCGCTGGGGTGGCCGCCAGGAGAGCCCTCGCCAGCGGGATCAGCAGAGCAGTCTGAGGGCAGGCGGACCCAGCACCCTCAGCGTGGACAGTGGTGGTCATGCCCAGTCTGAGTTGCTGAAGTGTGCTGCAAGGCTGCAGGCATGGTCACACACAGGCCCAAGGAGGTCATCCGGTCTGACTTGTACGTGAACATCTGTGCCCTCCACACTGCCACTAAGCGAGCGTGCATTCGTTCATTCATTCATTTGTCCATTCGCCCTTGGCTTGAGGACCCCCAGCAAGGAGCTGCCTGCTTCCTGAGGAATTTCATTTTACTTTTGGACAGTCATTTGTTAGGGAGCTTCCCCCTACCTCCAGCTAAAACCAGTTTTTTCATCTTCCACCATTGTGCCCAATTTTGTCCTTAGGGGCACTTCCACCCAAGCATCCTTCAAGGACATCCACTCCATCCCCCTTCCCCTGCCTTTTCTCCTCCATGCCTAGCATGGTTTTAAGGCCCTTTAGTATCTTGGTTGCCCTCCTCCCCAGGCCCATCCCTCCCCTCAGATGTGTGGTAAGAGCTTGGCACAGTCCTCTGGAAGCTGCGTATCCGGTGCAGAATGCGGGAGGCTCCCCCCAACCTTCACTGCCTCTCTCCGCTGTCTCATCTGTCACTCTATTGAGGCCTTCTGCTGCGGGCGTGTCTCCCCTCACGTCCTCTTTAGGCAAGCTGCTTTCTAACTGTTTCTCTACTATCTTGAGCTCAGGATCCCACTAACAACAACAGTAATAATAGCTAACACTTCTATTATATAGCATTTAACTATGTGCCAGTCATGTTACAAATATTATCTGATGCTCACAACAACCCTGGGAGATAGGTGCTCTTATCCCCACTTTACACATTAGGAAATTGAGTCAGGCAGGGTAAGTGACTTGACCAGGGTCACACAGCTAGTAATTATTTGAGTCTAGATTTGGACTCTGGCTTCCTGCCTCCAGGCCCCATGCTCACTGCCCCTGCCTTTATATCTATCCCTATGAAACTTCATCTTGTTAGATTTTTTTCTAACATTCTAGTTCATGGAGGCTCTTTTTTGCATCTAGAGATGCCAGTGTGCATTACTGCCTGTTTCCATTACTATTTGGGTCAATGGCAATTCAATTCAGCATGCATTAAGCACCTGCTGTGTGCCAGGTACTGAGGGTGCAGAAGGAAAAACAACTGGTCCTGCCCCCAAGCAGCTTACATTTTGTTTGGGGAGATGACATGTACCCAAAGAAGCAAGGGCACATAAGGGCTTGTCCAATTGAATTGAGAGAGTTCTAGTAACTGACCTGTGCTCTTGGTGTTGTGGGTGCCTGAGGTGATAGTCCTGAAGCCCTAGGGGAAGAACTTGGTTTAATTTAAATTAATTCTTTTTAGTTAGCAAAATTTTATTTTCACTCCCCTTACCTTCTCTCCCTCCCAAACCTCACCCCATTGAAGCAGCCCAGTCTACTTGGAGGTAGTTCTGATGTTAGAAACTGTTTCCCATGTAACAGAAACAAATTATCCTTCTTTCAGAATTTCTACCCATTCCTTTGACCTCTGAGGTTGAGCAGAGCAGGTCTAGACCCTGTGCCATGTTGCCCTTCACAGTCTCGCTTTGTCTTCTCTTCCCTCAGGTAGAGATCCTAAAGTCCAGTTTCACCAGCCCAGTTTCCCTCTTCTGGACACCCGAGCTTAGCGATATCCTTCAATATTCTGAAGAGTATTCTCTGGGGTTTTTTGTTTCAAAAGGAGATGTTTAGTACTTCCTTGATTAATTAGTGGTGGTGCAGTGGATAGAGTGCCAGGCCTGGAAGCAGGAAAAGGAGTCCAAATCCATCCTCAGACACTTACTAGCTGTATGACCCTGCACAAGCCACTTAACCCCTCTCTGCCTCAGTTTCCTCAACTGCAAAATGGGGATTATAATAGCACTTACCTTCCAGGATTGTTATGAGGATCAAATAAAATAATATTTATAGTGTTTAGCATGGTGCCTAATACATGTGTGTTCCCCTCCCCCTTTCTCCTCTTATCGATTGACTGATTCCAGGATTGACCTGGGTTCAACTCCTGGCTCTGATATTGACCAATTATATGACCAAGGGTGAATCAATCACTCAACCTTTCTGAGCCTCGGTCTCCTCATCTGTAAGATGGGTAGAACAATACATATATTACCTTGCTCATAGGGTGATGGTAAGATCCAAAGGAGGAAATGTATATAAAGTGCTATGCTACCCAAAGCCTGTTGGCAACCTCTCCAAGGCTGGAATGTCCTCTCACTCCCTTGAATATACAGGGACAGCTTCTTCACCACTACCAAAGCCCTCTGAAACTTAGAGGAACATTTTACAACAGAATAGGTACGTGGAGGAGGGATTGCAGGGGGTGGGCCTTGCAGTGAGGAGTTGAATGTGACTCCAGGGTTCCCCAATCCCTTCATTTTACATATGAGACAAGTAAGGTCCAGTGAGGAGAAGGGACTTAGTCATGCAGGTAGCAAGTGGCAGAACCAGGCTTTGAATCCATGTCAATCACGTGGGTGAACGGAAGCATGGTGGTACCCTTGGCAGACCTAGGAAAGTTCAAAAGAGGGAAAAGAGAATGAGCTCGGTTCTGCACCGGCTGAGTCTTAACTGTGTATGGACCATCTAATTTGAGATATCCACTCAGCTGGCGGTGATTTAGGATTGGAGATGAGGAGGAAAGCTGAGCTGGGCGTAGAGATCTGGGAGCCGTGTGCCCAGAGACCGAGCATGTTGTGGCAGGGACTCTTCCTCAGGTGGAAGCTTGGCTGATTGGTCCCCTCGGTCTCCTCCACCTCTGTGCATCATGGGATCGTAGCGTGCCAGGATCTCGGTGTCTTCTGACATTCTGGGTGCTTTCTCTCTGCCAGGTGATCCAGAGGCATGGCCAACCAGAACGTCTCCCAGCCCAGCCTGTGTGATCCTTTCTGGACTCAGCACCTGACAGGACTTTATGTTGCCGTGTTCATGGGTGGGGTGACTGGCATCTTCTGCATCTTGTTTATACTGGTGAAAATGAACTCGCGGTCCGTGACCACCACGGGGGTCATCAACCTGGTGGTGGTGCACAGTGTGTTCCTGCTGACGGTTCCTTTCCGTCTCGTCTACCTGGTCAGGCATAAGTGGTACTTTGGGTTGCCCTTTTGCAAGGTGGTGAGCGCCATGCTGCACATACACATGTACCTCACTTTCCTGTTCTACGTGGGCATCCTGGTCGTCAGGTACCTCATCTTCTTCAAGCGCAGGGACAAGGTGGAGTTCTACCGCAAGCTTCACGCCGTGGCCGCCAGCACCGCCACGTGGGTGCTGGTGATAGTCACCATCGTGCCTCCGCTGCTGACCCAGTACGGCTCCCGTGGGGAGTACAACGACACCAGGTGCTTTGAGTTCCAGGAAGAGCTGAAGGAGAAGTACGTGAAGGTCCTCAACTACGCGGCGGCCGTCGTGGTCATCGCCATCACCCTTGCCCTCCTGGCCTTCCAGGTCTTCATCGTGGTGTCCACGGGGAAGAAGCTGGCCCGCGCCCGGCTGGCCCACCAGGAGTTCTGGGCCCAGCTGAAGAACCTCGTCTTCATCGGGGTCATCTTCACCTGCTTCCTTCCCTACCAATTCTTCAGGCTGTACTACCTCCAAGAGCACACGCCCAAGGGCCCGTGCCACCCCAACGTGTACTACAACGAGATGTTCTTGAGCGTGACTGCCGTCAGCTGCTTCGACTTGCTGCTCTTTGGCCTGGGAGGGAGCCGCTGGCTGAAGCAGAGCGTCTCCGATCTCCCTAGCTGCCTCTCGTGCTGTCCATGCAGAGCCAAGATCTGACTGCCCGCAGGTGCTGCCAGCAGGCTTCAGACCTTCCGGGGGCCCAGGGAGAGCAAGCGTTAAATGTTAGAGGACGAGAGGGGGATCTCTAGAGGGGAAAGCGAGGGGATAGATTATGGGGGCTAGAGAAGGGTGTTTACCTTTACGGGAATGGGAGGATAGGGGAGGAATCCTTGGAGAAGGAGTAGATTAAGTAATAGGAGGGCAAGGCAGCAGGTAGGAGTGGAGGAGTCAGAAGGGACAGGAAATAAGAGATTGGCACAAACAAAAAATAAAGATTGGGAGTAGAATTTATTAGGGAAAGTATATGTCTATATAAAGTGTGTATATATGTATATATATGTGTGTGTATATATATATATATATACATATATATGTAGAAATATATCTGTACTTAATTGTAGCCTTGGCGGGGGGGAGTGGAGAGGGCAAAAAAAGAATAAAAAGTGCACTGAGAGAAAATAAAACTTACAAGGAAGCGGAGAAAAGATGGACAGCTCTCAACACAACATGGAGTATTTCTCATACAGGCTTTCTTGAAATGAAGATTTATCGTTACCTCTTTTGAATCCTCTCTTCTCTTCTGCTATGCACGAGATGTGCTTTTTTTTTCTTTTCTTCCTTGTATTTAAGTTCCAGTATTTAAGTTTTTGATATGTGTTTTTTTTTTCTTTATTCTGAATTTATGTTCTGGTATTTGAGTCTAAAATAAAATTAAAAAAACTCAAAAAATGTTTTCTTAATGTGTAATTTTTTTTAAATGTAACTTTCTTCACTTTATAGATGAGGAAACTGAGGCCCAGAATAGTTAAGTGACTTGCCTCAAATCAGAATTTGCACCCAGGTCCTCCTGACTCCAAAAGCCAATGCTCCCTTCATTGTCCCTTCCCAATGATGGGCCTCTCTCCTCTTGAGCCAGGTGAAGCCAATCACTCCCTTTTGGGCCGTTCCACCAGGAGGCCCCCTTTCTTTGTGGCCTTTCTGCCGAGAGCCTGGCTTCCCCCTGTGGTCCTAAGAAGTCAGGATAGCTCATTCCTGGGTTAGAGATTTGAAGCTTTCCATGTTTTCTTTTACATTGAAAATTCACAAAACAAAATTAAGTTCTGCAATATCCCTCGTGAAAATGACAGCACCCTGGAGCAGGAGTGAGGAAGCTGCAGCCTCGAGGCCACTCTCGGTCCTCAAGTGTGGGCCTTTGACTGAATCCAAACTTCACAGAACAAATCCCCTTCATCAAACTGGGATTCAGGCAGAAGGCCACACCCGAGGACCTAGAAGGCCACGTGTGGCCTCGAGGCTGCAGGGTCCCCGCTTGTGGAGCTGAGAACAACTTGGATGCGAACTGGTTCGTAGATGACCGGGCTGGTTTGTCCCGTGAACCTCGTGAGATGTGAGAGGGTGAACGCATGAGACGGGCATCTGATCTTTGGAGCTTCCTGGAAAAGTCCTTTTTCCTGCCTTCTGCCCACACTGGGAGGAAGGCAGGCAGGGCAGCGTGGGGACCTGTGGGAGCCACTGAGGACATGGAGTCTGCAGGACTCTTCCCACCTGGGTGACTTGGGCCCTGCATCTGGGCCTCAGTTTTCCTCATCTGTAGAAATGGGGAGAATAACATACACTCTACCTCAGCAGACATTTTGGTGAAGAAAGTACTTTGGAACTCCCCAGTGCCATACACACATGAGGTGCGGTACTCAGGTGGTTACCTGTGTTCCTGACTCACCCTTAGGCACTGCAGTAGGGGTCCTGAGCTTAAGAAGAGACTATTGTCCAGGGGAGGGCCTCCAGGAGGCAAGGGGTGCCCCTCAAACCCCCCACATTGATTTACATCCTGATTCACAAAACCATTCAAGGAAGAAAGTCAAAACCAGACCCAAGGGAGGGGTGGGATGGGAAAGAGCTGAAGATGGACCATGACCACAGCCTGTCCCACCTGGCTGCTCTCTGGCCTTTATCTCTAGATAACATCTCTAGAAACAAGATTTCCTCCAGGGCCCCTCCCCCACCCTCGGGTTGGACGGAAGGGGGTGGACTGTATAGGGCAGAGCTCCTCCCAGATCTCCTTTACTTCAGGAGGGGTGGGGCCCCTTCCTCACCATTTCCCACCCATCTGCAAGGCTTCTTTGTGCCCTTGCCCCCATTCAAATGTGAGCTCCTGGAAGACAGGTAGTGAAGCACCAGGCACATAGTAGGCCAGTTACATCTCTCCTCTAGGGTTCTTGGTACCCTGAGGCAGTTGGGTGTGTCTCCCTTCTCTGCCATCAGCTCAAGCCCCTCATCTGTGATTCCCCCATTTTAGGAGCCTGAGTACTAGCATCCCAGTTTCATTTAATGACTGACTATCGCATTGCATTTATAAATGACCAGTTTTCTCAAAGATGGAGCTGGGACAAACAGTAAACACTTCCCCTGCACTTTGGGGACATCACCCCCTTTACCCTGCCTGGGAGACCCTGTTTAGCCCAGTACTTACATAGCACTGGCTCCACCAAGTTCACGTCCAAAGCCCCCATTGGGCTGGGCTGGGTGCAGCACCAAGTCTGAACTCCTGGACTCAGAACCCCGAGGCTTGCGCTGTGGCCCCGGGTTAGAGACACCACCCCTTTCTCCTAGAACAGAAAAGAATGAACAAGAAGGCCAAGGAGCCAGGCCTGTTTGGAGGGCACCATGTGTTCTGGAGGTGCTAAGGCCCCTCTCCTCACTTACCCCATGGTCTCATGGTCACGTCGCCCCCCACGCCCCCCGGCAGCAAAGCCCTAGCCAGCGCTGACTCAGCCCATTGTGGAGAGGGTGTGTGAATGACGCCATCTTAGCAGACTGATGGGGCCTCGGAATACAGGACAGCTTGGGAGGGAAAGCCCTGGAGGGGCAGGGGAGGGGAGGGGATGAGAACAGGAAATGCTTCTTGTAGAACGTGGTGTTTACACTGAACCTTGAAGAAAAGCAAGAAGCAGATGTGAGCCGGGAGAGAGTTCCAGCCTGAGCAAAGGCTCAGAGATGGGAAATGGAGAGACAGGTGTGTGGGGACCAGCAAGAAGGCCCCAATGAGGAGGAGGGCTGGTGTGAAGAGATTTCAGTGTCCTCCTTTCCTGCCTAAAGACTCCTAAGAATGGAAGCTCCCTGAGGGCAGGGCAGGATGTGGGGTCAGAAGGCCGGGGTCTGGCCCTTGACTCCTGCCCACCAGCCCTGGGGCCCTGGATGTGTCAGGGACCTTTTTGCACCCCAGGTGCCTCCTGGAAAAAATCAGGATGACATGTGGGATCCTTTCCTAGAGGATTATTGTGGAGATGTCAGGAGCTCAAGCGCGCTTCTAACCAGAGAGGGATGTAAACTTCCACCGCTGTGGGCATCATTTTTGTCATGCGCTTCGCCCGGTGCCTGGCACCCGGTGGATGCCGTGCATATGCTAGCTGTTGTTTTGTTTTGGTTGTTGAATTGTTGTTTAAAGAGCCCGCAGAATCAAGCAAAAGTTCTCCTAAAATGCAGCAAATCGAACTTTAGGAGTATTTTGTCTCTGGAGTTCTGGGCATTGGCCTGGTCTGGGGCAGTGATGTCAAGCTCGGATAGAAATGAGGGCCGTTGCCCTGCCTGTGAGAATCCCAAGGGAAAACCACACGTTAACCTAGTCTTGTTCTGGAGGGCTTTTATTTATTTTGCTAAATGTTTCCCAATTCCATTTTAATCTGCTCCAGGCAGTAGGCCTGCCTCTTTAACATGAGTGGTCTAGATTCTTGGACTTAGATCCAGGAAGACCTGAATTCAAATCCTGCCTCAAACAGTTACTTAGCTGTGTGATCCTGGGTAAGTCACTTAGCCTCAGTCTACCTCAGTTTCTCCTCTGTAAAATATGGACAATAATGGCACCCAGGGTAGTTGTGGGGGTCAAATGAGGTAACAGGGGCAAACATGCTTTGCAAACCTTATTAAAGGCCTGTGTAAATGTTAGCGATTATTATTGTTGATTACTGTCATTATCATAATGTACACATTGTCTCCCTGAATAGAATGTAAGCTTCCTGAGGGCAGGGATTGTTTATTAAACTCCTGTGTGCCAGTCCTGAGGACAGAGACCAAAATGAAACAACCGTTTGCTGATTGATTGATTGATTATGGAGCCAAGTGTTGAGGCCAGGAGCTGAGGGGCAGGAAAGGAGATTCTGAGTTCCCTTATGTCCGAGCTCTGCACAAGGATGTGTGTGTGTGTCTGTCTGTCTGTCTGTCTGTCTGGGTCTCAGGGTGTGTGCATGTGTCTGTGTGTGTGTCTGTGTCTAGAAACCTCACACTCCCCCTTGCTTCTCTCCTCCAGAAACAGACAGGAAAGGGGAGCATTTGCAACCCAGACAGACTTAGAGCAGGAAGCCCTCCCCCACCTCCTTCACACCCTCTTTTGAAATCCGTGGCCGTGGTTGTGAATTCTCCCACTTGTCCTCTGAGGTTTAGGGGTGCTTCTCGGGGCCCCAGACAGCCAGAACAAAGCTACTCAGCGAGCTCCTCCCCTCCAAATGGGGTGGACGGAGAGGAGCCACCCCCCCCCCCCCCCCCCCCATAGGGGCAGGCCAGCCCCCAGGATGGAGCCCTGGCCTGAGTCCTGCGACCTGGGTTTGAATCTTGTCTAAGTTACGTCAGGTTATCCTGGGCAAGTTATTTAACCTCTCGGGGATCCCAGGCAACTCTCTTAAGGCGGTAATGGCAGAGAGCCGGTCAGTAAGCATTTATTAAGTGTCTCCTGTGTGCCAGGCACTGCACCGAGCGCGGGGGATACAAAGAAAGGCAGAAGACAGACCCTGCCCTCGAGGAGCTGCCAGTCTAACGGGGGAGGCAGCATGCAGCCAACTCGGGACAAACAAGTTGGGGTCATCGCTGCCTGCCTCGTTACTTACACTGGGTACAAAGCCCAGTCCTTGGCCTTTCCCTTCCAAAGACCGTCGTCCTCTGCAGAGAAAACAGACAAAACGGAGCCAGATGGCTCTTCCTTCTTTGGGTCACGTGCCAGTGGCCCTCTCCCTCTGAGCAGCAACCACGCGTCCCTTCTGTGAATGACCGACCTTTACATGGCTTAAAAAC